TAAAAGGGGATGGAAGAGAGGAGACTGGCACACCAGGGGACAGTGGGGAAGCAAATGAATTTCAAGAGCCCTTTTTGTGCAATTACTTTGGCCTGCCAAAGCTACAAGAGTTGCAGTGTTCAAGTAATAGTAATAATAGAAAAACATAGCTAGAAGGGAGCCATGACAAGGAGATTGTCTAATCAAAGCAGGATCATCCCTGTCAAACCATTCCTGACATATTTGTCTAATCAGCACTTAACAACATCCAATGATGGAGATTCTGGAAACTCTGTAGGTAATCTGTCCCAGTGCTTGGCCACCCTTTAAATAATAATCAGTTTAATTCTTTACATCTTCAATGATTCCAAACAATACATGGTGATTCAGGAGAATGGGAAAGTGAATATCAATGCTGGCAATTATTTTAGAACATGCATTATTTGAGTCTCCTATTGCAGGCACAACTGAAATACATGAGTCTTTCCTGCTTAGTGAAATGTAATCCTTTTATGCTATATTAAACCCTAAAACAATTTGCCCCAATGTTTTTTTTTTATTCCCAAACTGTCCTGAGAAAATTTCAATTGTATTGCCTTTTACTTGAAATTATTATAATTTACATGGCAATGTTATAATTACTTACCACATAGATGCATGGTGCCTAACAGGGAAGTCTGAAGAGGGGGTGGTGGTTTGAATGGGTTTACAATGTAAAGTTACACCAAAGATAGAGGACCTCATTTGGATCCAAATCATTTTTGCACTATGCTGCTCTAGTGACTAAAAATGTAGAGGCTCCTGGTTTGCACAAATGTAAATGAGATCAGGATCAGGGCCTAGCTTATAATGAAAGGACAGCAGATGTGGAGGCAGGAAGGAGGGCACAACTAAGCAAAAGGAGGGCTATAGGCTTGGACATTTTTAAGCAGTGAGAGGTAGATATAGGTGACTTCACATGTCTGTGCAGGAGTATCTTATTTTACTCTTCTTTGGATTATGAAAGTTATAGAGAGGAAGTTGAGGCTGATGAGCTTTGCATAAAGAATAAATTTTAAGGGGACAGAGAACGAGAGGAAGACCTTTATATCAAAGGGAACTAGATGGAAAATGCGAAGATTTTTGAGAAAAAAAAGAAGGGAATGAAAAGAGAGGGGAGGTGGGAGGCTGAGGCAGTGCAAAGTGCAAGAATAGTGTGAGCACAGAAGAGATCTAGGCATCTCCAGGGTTGCCTGAGACCCTCAAGGTGAGGATGAAGCCACTTTTCCATTCAAACCTTCACAGCTTATATCTCGTCTCGCAGCCTGTGTCCCATAGCACAGATTAATCTTATTAATATTATTGCAGCCATTTCCCAAATGTGAAACAGAGAAAGAAGCAGTCCCTGACCTGAGCAGCTTACAGTCTGAAAAGAAAAGCAAATGGACTGGAAACCTACAGAAAGGAATACTACATATAAACTGGAAGATCACAGGGATGATTAGCTGCGTCTTTCCCATTCCATTCATTTTATAAATATTTGCTATTTTAAATTAACCTGAAGAAACCTTCAATTTAGCTGTTACCAGCTGGCTTATTTCTAGTAAATCTCCTGGTAGATATTATGAATTGCCCAACCCTGCTCCCATATACGTCAGTTGCAAGATTCTCATTGGTTCCAGCAGTCCAATATCAGGCCCAGCAATCTTTTCTAATTTCCCAGAACTTTCTTTTCCCTTTTTCGCCCTTGGGATTGCAGTAATATTTTCACCCTGAAGTTCACTTTGGAGGGTTTCCCATTGCTATTTTGTTGCTGTCTACTGTATACACTTAGATATTTGAAACTTGGTTTATTTTTCTCAGTCTTGTTTTGGAAACAAGCCTGGGTTCTGCTTCTTGGCACAGAGCTTTCATTTTAGTTTAAACGAAATGCAGATTAAGACTAGATTTAACACATGCTTTAGTATTTGATTGGAATGGAACCTACGTTCTTTTCTCCATCTGTTAATGATATTAAAAGGAGGTGCTGAGCACTTGTGTCTCTCTTTGCAGTGAACATGATATGAAGTTGGGGGTAAACTTTAGAATTTAAAGAAGAAAATTGTGTTCTTTTGTATTTGATGCCTCAGATATCCCATCTGTAGAACAAGGGCTAATACTAATACCTTGCTGAGGTGAGATTAATTAATGTTTATAAAAAAACCCATATTTACAGAACCTTGGGTGAAGAGTACTAGAGAAGATTATCACCTATAATCTCTAGGCTTTTGACATTTCCAAGTAAAACTTTAGTGTTGAGGAACTTCAATATCTTCTGGTTACTATATGTAAACACCTTAGAGAGGGAAAAATAAACTACAGTAAAGTACAGCAGTTTTTCATTTCCTTGTTCAAGTTTTAAAAAAGAGGCAACTGGAAACTGTTATAAATAGATATAAGGCTATAACAGGGATGATGAAATAAATGCTGGTAAGAACTGGTTGAATCTTCACCCAACCTCAAATCCATTTTTGCATTGTGAAAAAGGTTGGCTCCCCCCCGCCCCCAGTTATTTTTTATTTTTGAGCTGCCTTTGCATTTCCGGTTTCCTCACTGGGACCAGCAATGACATGAAAGGGATAGTTTGGTTCTACTCACAAACCCTCCAGCTTAGTTGTGCATATGGAGGAATTTGAATAGTTGAATTTCTGATACATGCCCAAGGCTTTGGTCTACCCCATATGTACTGACACCTGACAATTTGGCAGCATATACAGTTTAGAGAGACCTGAATGCATGCCCCATCACTGCTCACTGTTTCACCTGCCTGACAATAGTGCTGGGCTGCATGTTTAGGACCTTTCTGAACCATCTATATTCTGCAGTTGGCAAATTTGGGTGGTATAGGAAGGACATGTTTTTTTTGGTGATGATTCCAGGATCAGCAGGGTAGTAAGGTCACGGTTTTATGTCTCTGTGCCTTAGCTCTACATCTATAAAACAGACGCAGCAATACTTCTCTATTCCATAAAGGTGAGATGAGGATAAACAGAAAAAAGACTTTTGGAGGCTCAGTTGCTATGGTGATAGGAGCTATCTAGTAACTACCTTGGATGGAAGGAGCATTTTCCTAGGAATCTATCTGGTGCTGTTACTTTGGGAAGGTTGGTCTTGCTGTTGCTTATCTTAATGGAAATCAGTGGGAATCAATGCTAAGCAAAACTGACTAAATGTCAGGGACTCTGATCAAGCAGGCCAGGCTGGGCTGAGTTCATGAGTGACCACACCTGCCCCTGATCCATGGCTAATGTAACTAACCCAGTTCTCTGCAACCAGACTGGCTGCTGAAAGCACCACTCACCCCTTTTAAACACATTTGCAGACTCAGGCTACAAGCAAACCTTGACACAGCCTTAGTCTGTCCTTGCAAGCCTCTCATTCACAGCTCTCCTGACTTCTGACCTGGCTTTGTCTTTTCCTCACCCTGATCTTGGATCTCCCCTGAAACTCAGCATTGGCTCCACCCTCTCTGATTTCTCTGACATCCTGACTTGGCTTGGTTTCCTTGGTCCTGATTTTGGATTTTCCCTGGAACTCAGCAGTGGTTCTCTTGCCCTTGGCTCCTGACCTCAGTTTGTCTCAGGTTATATTTCTTAGATCTTCCCTCTTGCCTCCCCTGGAACTTGGTCCCACACTCTCTGTTCCACTGGCCCATATCCTAACCTGATGCTCTGGTAACCTGTGCCTCCACTTTACTGACCTCCTAGTTGCCCTTGACCCTCCACCCCCACCCTGGGCCTATATGCAGGCTTGGCTGCCTCCATCCTGGCCGAACCCTTACATTAAAGACCTCGGGGTTTGCCCATAATATATACTTTGGTGTAACTCAAGGATAAACCATGCCTGCTGCACATGTGCATGAGAGGAGGCGTGATTGTGAGATTGCACATTAGATCCCATTGGACCTTACCGGTGGTGCAGGGGGAGCCTGCAACTGGGAGCCTTGATCCTGGCCCCCCCTTGCACCAGCAATAAGGCATGGTGGGATCTGGGTCAGTCACATCCCAGGCTCCCCCTGCACCAACAAGCTCCCACTGCTGGGAGCCCCCTGAACCTCAGTTGAGGGGCTCCCAGCTGCAGGGGCACCCCACACACCCTTGGGCTGGAGGATCACTGCTGCAATAATCTCCTCAAACTTGGGGTATGGAAAACCCCTGGAGCAGGAAGAATTGCCCAAGGAGCAATTTCCCTGCCCTGGGGATGCGGAGAAACCCTGGGGACTAAAGGATTGCTGAAGGATGATCTCCTACCCCAGAGTTTTCCCACACCCCTGAGTCCTAGGAATCACAACTGCAGAAATCCCTATGACTTGGGGGTTTTGCATTGGACATGGTGCACTCCTGTGGCTGGGAGCCACATCACCTGAAGGGGTAAATTCACATGTGTTGAAAGAAGACTGCTATATATGCAAATTAAAGCTCAATAACAACCAGCTATAAAGCCAGTACACATTTTTGAGGTCTAACTGTATAGCTGAATGGAGCTTTTTATTGTGTGATAGCTACTTTGCATGTGTAACTGGTCTCTAGGTAATTGTATACTTAACTAGTTAATTGCACAATACCTGCAACATGTAGAGGGGGCCATAGATTCAGCTTTGGAGACATGCTACTTTTGGACTCACATATGCAGATCAGGTTGAAGTCAGTACTGCTTATTGTGTCTAAATAGTGAGATATACCCTAGAAACTCCTCAGCTAGATAGAGATTAGTGGATAGATTAGTACATGTGCATCAAGGTGTTGATTTTGGCCTCTAGTTCATATAGACTGAAGCCCAAAGTACTTATTTAGCTATGAGGGCCTGATTCAAAACTCACTGGAGTCAGTGGAAAGACTCATGTGGGCTTTAGATGGTTTTGAATCAGAACCATGTTCAGGTCTTAGGGTTATGATAACAGTTCAAGTTCTCTGCAAACTCCAGCATCACTTTAATAATGTTTTTTTCCTCCTTTGTCATGATCCTATTTTTGTTGATGGAAATATGTCTCTCTTACCTTACAGGGGAACGGGAGAACTTTGGGAAAGTGAATTCCAATAACCTGGGTCTTCCTTATGACTATTTCTCAGTGATGCACTATGGCGCGTAAGTTGGCCTTTGAGTTTTTCTTGTACAGAAGCAAGAAGAGCTCATGTCTTCTGTTCAGACTTAGGACACAAAATTGATTTTTATAGGGAATGACTTATGGTATTTACTTTGAATGACGGGATATGCAGGAGTAAGAAGGAATTTATCCTTTCTGCCAGATTTATTTCTAGTAAAGATAGAAAGGGATAGGGCTGAAAAAGAAAGCAACATTTCCTCTCACTTCACTAATGATTTAAATTAAAGGCCTATCTATAGCCATAACTTTACATTTAGCACTAACATGCCTCTGAATTCTGAGCCATCTCTGCTAAGTTCTATAGAGACAGGTCTCTTAATGATATCACTAAGTCATTAAAGCAACAGTACAATGAAAGAGAAGGAGGATCCCCCCTACATAATAAAGATGTTGTGTAGCACCTTTTGAATATCATGCTATCTTTGCTTATGGTTTAATGCCACAGTTTAGCCCTTAATGTGTAAGCCTGCATCAGGCACCTTGTCCCTCATTTCCACTAGCAAGGAGAAAATTTCTGAGCATTTTCCACAGCAAAACAGTAATTAAAATTAAAAAGGCTTGTTTAGCTGAAGGCAAAGAACAGCAAGTATTAGTTTCAAGTATACAAAAAATCAGGAGCTGAGACAGTACTGCTACTGATTATCTCCAATGGCAAAATAGCTTGCTCTGTTCCACAACTTGTCAGGATGTTGTTGTAGCCATAATTGTTCTGGGAATATGTGAGAACACTGTTTTATCTGGTATTTAGTTTGCACTGTCTGCTTCTTTCTCAGACTTGAAGAAGGGCACTTTTTTGTGTCCAAAAGCCTGATTAAAGTTTTTCCTAGCTATACATTTGCTCTGTAGCCGAAAGCCCCCTTTGTACATTTCCCTTCTGGACGTTGATATAATAGAAGCCCCTTCTTGCCTGCCTCCTCCCCATTTTGTGCATTTCTTTTTCCTTCTAAGTATTGGCAGAGACCTAGCACACTCATTGTATGGGTGTGGCAAGGCTCAGAGCAAGCCAGAAAGCTAAATTGGCTTTCTTTAGGATAAACCTACAAACTACATCTACATATCAATTTAAGCTCAGTGTCACTAAAGAAAACAAAAGAACTAAAATATCCACTTCAAAGACTGTAAATATATCCTGGTGCTAATAACTCACTTACTGTCCCCAGTAACCTTTGATCCTCACTATCTCACATTGCATTTTTATATATTTCTCACAGTGCATTTTTGTATTCCATCTGTCTCATCTTTACCATGGCATTTTATATTTTATATTTTATACTTTTAAACCCTTAAGCAATGTACTCCCTGTAGAATGAAGTTACAGCCTGCACCATTGTTAAAACCTGCCTTGAAATTGTAATTGTAAAGTGATAAAATCTGCTATATTGGGCTGTTTTATCTGGTATCCCTTGAATGAATGTGAGTATGAATGACAAAACAAGTACCTTTGGCTGTTAATTAACAATAGCCTAGTCAGAGAAACTTACCATTGCAAAACTCTACTCTAAGAGCCATTTTATGCTAATCAAGCCAAGAAACTGATTCCTGGAACTAAGCACCCACTTTATTGACTGTTCCTGTAACCCATAACAATATAGCCATTAGGGCAACAAGTCAAGGATGGACTCCTGAAACTTCAGGTACCAGCAGGCAGAGAACCCTGTGACTAACAGCTGTCATGTACTACTTAAAACCAATGTGGGACAGCGACCTCTGGATTGGGCAGCCAAGATGATGATGGGGGATCACACAAATCTGCCAGAAAGGGATAAAAGGCAGTGAAGCATAACTCTCAGTGGTACCCTCTCATTGAGCACCTGACCTATCGAGACAGAAGGACAAGCAGGCGACCCCCTTCTGGAGAAGACATTGCCTTGAAGGAAGCTGACCATTGACAGCAGACTGCAGGGCCTCAGATAGGTAGATATACTGACACACCGCTCTCACAATCACTACACACCACACTACATGGGTTTAAATGACATGGGTTTGAATGAGTGAGTGTGTGTGTGTGTGTGTGTGTGTGTGTGCGCGCTAAGGTGACTAGTACCACTCATAACTCAAAATTTGCATTTATGAGTTTATTGGTAACTTCATATCCTGTCCAATAAACTAGAATTTATGATGATCCCGAGAGTTGGTCCTTTGTGGCCAACAGCTCCAATAAAAGATATCGTTCGCTTCCTGCATCATGTGAACAGAATCATTTCAACAAATGGTACCTTTCTCCGTTGTTTCTTATTTTTATTTTTGCCAGGCTCAAGGTTGCTACTTCACTGCTGCTTCTTATATCTCATTTCTGTGAATTTTCTTTGCTTGCCCTCTTCTATTTATTTATTCCATTCAAAATTGTATGTAGATGGTACATTACTGTTTTTTTCACAGTAACAAAACTTGTATAATTTTAAAAGGAATTTGATCTGGTAATGTTATTTTTCCCCTGTTTCTGAAGCTATGCTTTCTCTAACACCTCTGGGAAAGCGACTATCATACCAATTCCTGATCCTTCTGTACCCATTGGACAGAGATATGGACTGAGTAACCTGGATGTGGCTAAAATCAATAAGATCTATAACTGCAGTAAGTGCCCCAAGTACTAGACACACATTTTATGCTAATGAATATAATTAGATGCTGCCAGACTTACTCCCATCAATTTACCTTACTACTTTCTCAAAAGATCCAAAACAGGAAGAGGGCCAGGATGCCTTTAGAGCTAGATTGAACCTTGAAGGTCACAAAAGTCATAAATGGTGTATAGGCTTTGTATTGACCCTTCTCACAAGGGTCATTCTTCATCTGACTTTAATTTTTGAGAGGTGCTGCACCTGTTTTCATAGACGTTAGGGTCGGAAGGGACCTCAATAGATCATCGAGTCCGACCCCCTGCATAGGCAGGAAAGAGGGCTGGGTTTAGATGACCCCAGCTAGATGCCTATCTAACCTCCTCTTGAAGACCCCCAGGATAGGGGAGAGCACCACCTCCCTGTTGTATATGCTCAACACCTTTTGGAGTCACAGAAGCTGCCTCTGAGAATTTCTCTCTTCAGAAAAGCTCCAAAATTTGCAAACGTGAAATTTCCTCAGCCGTGATTGTGATTTAGAAAATGACATTTATCCCTGTTACGGGCCAGTTGTAATTGTCATCAGTGAGACAATGCTCATGGGGCTGCAAACATGGATGTAGTTTAGGTTAATTATAGTATACATCAACTCTGCAGTTTGAGGGGAATTCCTTGGTTATGGTGTTTTATTTTAGGTACCTTGTTCTTTGTCTACCCATCCCACAGTCATGCCTATGGTACATGAGGGTCCAGAAGCACTGGGAGCTGGTAGGAACCCATCGCTCAAGATATTTAAAACAGCATTGATAAAGTGCTAGAAATTCTTCTCTGCTCTGACTCCCAGTGGACGAGCTCATTTAGGGGTGGCCAAACCCCAGCACATGTGCCACAAATGGCATGGGCAGCCCTGTATGTGGCCAACAGCAGACTGGGGAGAGAACAGAGAACACAGTAACAGACAGGGGAGGGAGGAGAGAGCAGAGCAACAGGACAGGCAAGGGAAGGGGATTAGAGTGGCACGCAGGGAGTGTCCAGTACTTACCTTGTGGTATGCCTGCCAAAAATATTGGCCCCAACTGAGCTAATTGATCTAGTAGGTACTGGTATTTTCCATCTCTAACATCTGTGATTCAATCAGTTTCCAGGAAATAGGCAAGAGACATGATGTTATCTTAGCATCAGAATGCCTAAGTTTGCTCTAAATTGGATGAGTGAAGCCTTCATGAATACTCCTACAATAATTAATCAGAATAAGTGTTACTACACCTGGGTAACTAAGAACAAAAGCAGGTGCTGAGAGTAGTTTCCTCCCAGTCTTTAATTTTACTCTCCTCCTGGAGATCACTAGTCACAAAGGACCCTGTGTAGCAGTTGTGCATGTTGTGAAAACGCTAAAAGTAATTAAACCTCGGGCTTCAGTGTGTGGGATGATAGCTGATGAGAGCTAGGAATAAATCACCTTTCAGAGGAAGCACTGAACAGTGGACTTTGTTTTGGGGAGTTGAAAAGACCAGATTAGAAATATCGAGAACCAAATCAAGTTAAAGCCAGCACAACAAACCTCCCCAACAAAAAAACACCCCTCAAGAAACAAGTACTCCTCACCAAAAACCAGAAAAGAAAAAATACCAGAAAACAAAAGCTCTCCAAAATAAAAGTCTAAACTTTGCTGACTCAAGTGAATAGTGAGAGAGAAAGGAAGAGTGCTATGCCTTTGCATTTAGGCATTTTGGAAGACACTCAAAAGTCTTTGAAGGCCATGCATGTAAGACATAGACAGACAGACAAAGACCAGACTTGGAGAGCCAATGAGTGAATCTAATAAGGCAGCTCCTCTGTCCCTGCACAGTGCAGTGTACTACTACCAGCTCACAATGATTATCATTGTTTATTTTGCCACATTCTGCATCCCAAGGGTCTGATTCTGCACACACTTGTGCATGTCATTAAATTTACCCATGAGAATAGATCCATGGACTTCCATGGAAGTACTTTTTGATTGAAGTTAAACACGTTTGTGAAGGATCAGGGGGTTATTGTATTAAAATATGTGTGTGATTCAGTGTGATCTTAATCAAGAAACATCACAATGACTCATGATTTCCTTTTATTAGTATCATTATTTCACTGACAGTCAATTAATTCTTTCAGTAGGAGCACTGACACATTAGTAAACGTGACAATTAATGCTTTTAAAAACATGAGTGACATTAATGAATTGAGATAGCTCTGTCTCCTTTTCCTTTTGAACAAGATTCTTCTGCACCTCTCATTTTCCTCAGAACTGTTTTGTTCTTCCTTCAGATCGCTGTAGCAGTGTACTTCCTAATGTTAATGGCACCTTCTCCTCTGCCAACTACCCATCTCCATACCCAGACAATAGCAATTGCCTCTGGCTCATACGAATTCCACAGAACAAGGTGACTTTTAGGAAAAAGGATGTTCATGTATTATTCTTGTATCATCATCGTTATAGCCCTACCAATGGACCAGGATCTCACTGTTTCATGAGCTATGTGAACACAAGACAAAAATAGCAGTTTCTGCAATTATATCATTATGTATCATATATTATGTCAAATAATAGTAAGAGCAATTAAACATTGGAACAAACTGGGAAAGGAAGTGGTGTATTTTCCATCTTTTGATGTCTTCAGACTGGATGTCATCCTGGAATATATGCTTTAACTAAACATATGGTATTGGGCTCAATACAGCTGCAAATAGATGAAAATTTAATAATATAATTTGGATAGCATTTTTATAAAGATCTGACTAGATGATCTAATGGTTGGTTCTGTGAGAGGGAATCACTAAGGCAAAACTAAAAAGTTGCAGAGTTGTGGAAAGGAGGCTGGCAGCTGATGAAAACTAGACCAGAAGTAAAATGGTTTCAAGGGCAGTATTGCTGGAGGCAGGTAAGGGAAGATAGCCATGGAAGGACTAGCAAGACGGAAGAAGCATCAATGAAAAGAAGGACAGGAAAATAAAGGATAAGAAGTGGGGATCGTGGCAAAGGGAAAAAACAGCAGAGGAAAAGGTTTACTCTTCTGAATAAGGACTGTGAGAGGAGCTCAGGGTTTGAGGAAGATCCTTTCTAAAACAGATTCACAGGAAAACCTCTACATAGATGGGAGATTTGGTTCAGGGTTAAATGAGAATAAAAAAGAGCAGGTGTCAGGGAAGATTTTAATTTTCTGGATTTTTTTCCTCTTCAGGTTTTCCTGCAGTTTCAAGAATTTGGCCTTCAGTCTTCCCCAGACTGTGCTTCGGACTACGTCCGCATTTATGATGGAAGCAGCAGAAATGCCCGGGTCTTGCTGGACAAGTATTGTGGGGTGGCTCCATTACCAGCACTGGTGGCTTCTGGACACATGATGCTTATAGAGTTTGTGAGTGATATGGCTATTGCAGGAACAGGTTTCACAGCCTCCTATAGTCATGGTGAGGACAGTTCCTCATTTACAGAGCTTGCTTGGCAAATACTCCTGAGAACTTAACATTTTGTGCAAGTTTGCAAGAATACACCCATCCTAATGCTGTAATCTTTCCATGTCCTTTTTACCACACATAGCAACTGTTTAAACCTGGTGGCTTTTAGATTGGGAAATGAAAAATAGAGTTTTCCATGGCCCTTTGACCATCAACCTTTATATCCCACTCATGTCCATTTGGAGATCTGTGAACCCTTGCTGGGGTCTCTAAGAATAACTTGTTTTAAATTCAAGGAACTGAACAACAGTAGATGACAGGAAAAGTATATCCACAGGTTGAAAAGAAGCTGTAGAACACTATAAAGCCCAGTGACTCCTCCTTGCTGTGATTCCATACCTGAGTGGAGGCCACTCAGAAACACCCAGGTGCTGCAGGAAATGGTTTTAGTCCTTCACCATACTCATATGTAGTACTGGAGGGCACTGTGCATCTAGGCAATAAACCTTTCCATTGAGATGTGAAAGCACAGTCCTGGCCACATGTAGGTGCTAGAAGGTCCCATGACACTTTTTATAAGTAGGAAAAAGAACAACAATTTTTTGGTAAATTTCAATGGATATAAGAACTAAGGTAATTTAGTCTGGAGAAAAGACTGATGAAGGCAATTACAGAGAGGTGAAGATAGCCTTTTCTCTATGGCTTTTGGGCACATGTGACTAGGACCAATGGACTTAAGCTGCAGCAGAGGAATATAGGTTGGTGATTAGGACAAATTTTCTGACTATAAGAAGTAGTCAAGCATTGGAACAGGCTACCTAGAGTAGTTGTGGAATTTCCATCCTTGGAAATTTTCAAGAACAGGGTGGACACACACTTGGCCGGGAGAGTTTAGTTGGTATGATCCTGCCTTGAGCTGGGGGCTGGACTTGATCAATGGTTCTCAACCTTTTCTTGTACCAGGACCCATTTGTAAACATTAATGGCCAGACCCAGTGCCCCTTACTCCCAACCGACTGCTTGCCACCCCCAGCCCCCTAGTGTGTGGGGCAAGGGGGGGGGCATGGAGGCCCCCAAGCTGCCCCATGCAGGCTGAAACTCTGCCAGGCAGCAAGGGAAAAGCCACAGATTCCCAAGGTTTTTCTCCTTTAAATATGCATTTTTAAAGTTTGCTTGTGTCCGTTTTATATATTCTTATGACCCACATTTGGGTTGTGACCCACAAGTTGAGAAATGCTGGGCCAGATGACCTTTTTAGGTCCCTTTCAGTTCTACTTTCCTGTGATCCTATTGACTCTAATATTTTTCATGTTCCGAAACTCAAATCTTTAGTAGTATTGCAATGTGCAGTTGGAGGTGGCTGCATTTTATTGGTGGATGAACTTATTGCTGGACATAATTCTTTCTCCAGTACAGTTGCATGTGACCCCTCTTCTCCATAGGAAATACATTGCCTATGTTCTCAGCTCTTTTAATGCAATTACAGGTATAGATAGGTATTAGCCATAGGAATAAGCTGCCTAAAAGTAATCTTTCAGTGGATAAATTTCCTCTTTTCC